GTTTATGGTTTCCTTTGCTGTGCAAAAGCATCTTCTTTGTATGTTTGGTAGAATTCCACAGTGAAGCCATCCAGTCATGGACTTTTGTTTGCAGGGAGTTTTTTTGTTTTTTGTTTTTTGTTGTATTACAGATTCTGTTTCACTTCTAGTGATTGGCCTGTTCAAATTATCTATTTCTTCTTGTTTCAGTTTCATTGGACTTGTTTCTATTTTTTGATTTTTAAGGTAAATTGATATGTATTGTGGCTCAGTGTCTCTGCTAGCAAGGAAGAAAGTGAGATATTATGAAGTACAAATCTAGCTCAGAGTTCTTAAAACGGTTTTAGCATCACAGTGTTAAATGGCCATAGAATTGTTAGTCAGCTCACATCTTTATGGAGCTTAATCATTCATAAAGCAAATTGTTTCACATATTAGGCTTAAAAATGGAAAGATAATGTAAGGTTCATTTCTAATCATTTAGTCTTGATTCATGTAGGAGAGCCAAGGTTATCACCAAGCAGAATTGAGAGAGTGCAGATTTACAGAATCTTGGAATTAGAAGGAAGTGATACTCCTGTGAACTATGGTACAATTGACCCTTGAACAATGTGGGGTTTAGGGGTGCTGACCCTCTGCACTCGAAAATCCACGTGTAACTTACAGTAAACCTTTTGTATCCACAGGTCGTCCGTATCTGCAGTTCCTCTCTATCTGCAGATTTAACCAACCTCAGATTGTATAGTACTGTAGTATTTACTAATGAAGAAAATGCACATATAAGTGGACCTACACTCTTCAAACCCATGTTGTTTAAGGATGAACCGTACATTGAATAAATTAAGTGTAATCTGGATTCAAATTGAATACAAATTAGGTGTTTGATTACATTTATGATGTCCTGATATTATTTAATTATATATCCTACACTCTTACACTGTATTCTTTTCAGGCTGGCCCTCACTGCCATGAATAAGTTTGAGGAAGCAGTTACAAGTTATCAGAAGGCGTTAGATCTTGATCCTGAAAACGACTCCTATAAGTCAAATCTGAAAATAGCAGAACAGAAGTTAAGAGAGGTATCCAGTCCAGTAAGTTACTAATGCCAAATGAGTGACTTTGTCATTCACAATTTACTGTAATCAACTTGTAGTGGTCAGACCATATTCTGAAGAGAAAAAAAATCTCACTTTTAATTGTCATAGGTTTGGATTACTGTTTTATACTGAATAACTTCTTCAGCAGAATAGGTAACATTTATTATGTTCTAAAGGTAATGTTACAAATATGCTAGTCAAAGTAAGAAAAATAATTCTAGTCAGAGTTAATTGCATGAATAGAATAAGGCAGGGAAGTGAGATAAAGAGTCTATATTTCAAATCCCTCCTTTATTAATTTTAATGAGATGAAAATTCAGAATGCTGCAAAAATTTCAGCTTTTTTACCATGTCTGAAGTTCTCAAGAAAAATAGTAATAGTTCTTTCTATGGAGAGGTCAGCTTTTTCACAGTATTTTATAGAATATTTATAAATATATATATATATATATTAGTTTAAATTAAAAAAATTGTAGTGGTAGTATAATTCTCAGATATAATTGTTTTACAGACAGGAACTGGACTGAGCTTTGACATGGCTAGTTTAATAAATAATCCAGCCTTCATTAGTATGGTGAGTATATTTCCTTTTCTGCTTTGCTGGCTCTATTTTCCATTAGAGCTGTATAGTTCTAAACTTTTTAGAAACAAACAAGAGTGCTTTTGTGATGGTGGTGGCAGGAGAGAGGTAATATAGTGCTGTGGCTGTTGTCTTTAACCTGCCCATGTACTGCTTTGTGGAAAAGCCAGGGGTGGACTTCAGGAAGGCCATGGAGTCCATGAAATTGTATATGAAAATTTGTGTCCACGTGAATATGTGCATTTTTCTAGGGAGAGAACCATGTTTTTCATCAGATAGACAGAAGGGTCTGGAAATCTACAGAAGTTTAAAAACCACCCTCTTACATGAAAGTGACCCTAGGAAAGTGTCTGATAATCGAGGTCTGAGGATTCTGGCTATTGTGGTTTCCTAAGCTCTCCTCTCAGCATTATTTACTGCCTTTCTATTTTGAGTTTATTTGAACTTTTAGTATAATTCTCACATCTATGTATTCCATCCTTCAAACCAGCAAAATTACCTATGGATCTTTTTGAAAATCCACATGCTCTGGTCCTATAAGTAGAAACTGATTTAGTGGGTCAGGGACGTTACCTGGGCATATAAAGCTCCTACAGTGACTGCATACTGGCTGAGAAGCATTCTGCAAATGCTCTGCCCTTCAGGGCAGTACTACTTCTTACTCATTTTTGTTTCCCTCAAAAAAATGGATCTGTATTCACTAAATCTTCAGTTGAATTGAAATGGACTGATGGCCCATTCCCAGTGAGATAGGAGTGCTTTTGAACAATTGGTAATTTTGTAGCAATTGGTAATTTAAAATTGGTAGTTGAACTCTTTGTAGACAGAAGTCAATTTTTGAATCACTGACTCTAAATGAGGTATTGGCAAAGTCACCAGTTGCTTTTATTACCAAAGAAATAGTTATTTGACTGACTTGCAGATAATTCAGGAACTCCTTGAGTCTCATTTAGGATTCACCAAATTTAGGTTGGTCTTCCTACCTAAATGCCAGGAAATACATGTCTCTTTGCAGGTGTTGTGACGTTTTTAAATACTGTTACCCATTTCCAGGCCTCAGGCTATCCTACTGTAGCAGGATATAAAAATGGGTTTCTCTTAGTTTCAGATTTGGCTTAGCCCTCAAGGTGCTGCTGTGTACACAGATAAGTACCATGTAGGAGCTGCAAAAAGTGGGGATGAAAAACATATTGTGTGACTATTAAAAGGGTCAGGTTGACAGAAATTAGAAGAGGATTTTTGGAGAGAGTTCTTGGAGTTACAGAGCCCTGTTCCATGTGAGAGGGAAGTAAAGGGGCTGCCCTCCTCTCAAGCCCACTGACAGTGGGCCCTTCATGCCCACTCAAAGAGCTTTCTATATGACCTTCAATTTGGACGACAATAGACTGGTGTCTGACCTGCCAGCTAAAGAGGCCAGTGGCAGAATTAGCTATGTGGTTTAGGAAGTAACTGTACTGATGACAATGGAGTGGAAGTGTGTTTCCTGTGGACCAAGGTAAACACATACGCTTGTAAGATAGTTTGAGTCTAAGTCTGCACAAGATGGCCTCCTGGAAGGTGTCAGGAGCCCAACACGTTGTCTCCAAAGGAGAAATGCTAAGAACCTGGGACTCAACCAAGAGGCATAGCATCCATCCAGAGTAAATTACCCTTCTCAGAGGAGAAGTGGGAAATGCCCGGAGGGGCTGGGTGGAAGTGTTTGAAGAACAACAGAAGGTGCTCCACAAGAGAACCAGAGTCGTTTTAAACAACTTGCACACCTGAAGAGCACCAGTGCAAACCACTAAGATAATACCAGTCATCAAATAACATTCCTGTTCCCTTTATTCTCCTCCCTCCGCTTCACCCTGACCCTGGAGGCCAGAAAGCTGAGGGAGGAGGAGTGGAAGCACTGTGGGGAAAGAACCAACTATCCCCTCATTTCTGGTGCAGCTGGCTCATCTGTCACAGGCCCGTGCCAGGGAGAGGAAAACTTCTACCTGGAAATGCAGTTCTGTGTACTTGGTACTGCAGTGAGCAAGGAGTTAAGTACTGAACTGGAGGCCATTTTCTAACTTAAAGTGACTGCAGGACTGCTTACTTAAAGAGACAAAAAAGCAGTAAGATCTGCTCTACATTTCTTCTAGGTCCTGGGTTCTAGGAGAAGAGGTAGAGCTACTGCAGAACAGATTAAAGGGATTGTGAAGCAGATCGCTTTATGTTTATAGCTCATAAATCCTGCTTTTTCTGTGTAATGCCCATAGACCATATTTTGACTTAGAAGCACCGATCCTAACCAAGACCCAAGGGAAGTTACTGAATTATTTTTAAGTCAGTCAAGCGGTTCTCTTTATGGTAACAAAAGCAAGTGTTTTTTTCCCAACACCTCATTTAGGGTCAGTGAATCAAAATTAACCAATGTTTTACAAAGATTCAGACTAAATTTAAAGTTTACATGAATATTGTTAACAGTACCAATCTGGGGCCAAAAAATTGTTATGCGTTTAAAATAAAAAGTTTTAAAAGTGTATGTGTGTATAAAAACAATTCCCCTCCCACTGTGAGCACGGGAAAGAGTGAAACTACTAAGTCCTATGGAGCAAGGTCACGTCTCTTACTTTTTTAAAGAATTATTTATTTATTTGTTGGTGGCAGAGGCAATGAGGTTTATTTATTTATTTATTTGGTGGCAGTACTGGGGATTGAGCCCAGGACCTTGTGCATGCTAAGTATGCATTCTACCACTGAGCTATACCCTCCCCTCTTCTCTTACTCTTTTGAAGTGGCCCTTCTCAAATGTAGGAGGTTCTTTATGCTTTACCAGCTTGTAAAGAAGTTTGTAAAGCTTCTGTTTTCACTTTTGGCTTTTACTGGTCTGATCAGTAGTTAGTAGTAAGTAAACTGCTGTCAATATCCTTAGTCCATAGTGTTACTTGTAATCTCTTTTTCCTTGAAACGTATTTTCAATACCATTTTTTCTAGTAACTCCTCTTTTTTACATTCCCATTCACTTTGTGTAGCACACTATAACTCAGCAAAATGTTAGGAAATACATGGTTTAGCTTTCATTCCAATGCTTTTAAAAAAACTGTTACTATGAACTGCCTTTAATGATAGATGCCGTTTTTCAATTCCAGGCAGCAAGTTTAATGCAGAATCCTCAAGTTCAACAGCTGTAAGTATATAGAAAGAGCATATTATATTTCCCGCTTCCACTTGTCGGCCTCCTAATTTGAGCATATCAGCTCCAAAATGATAAAACTGGCCCGAATGCTGGTCAGTGGGAACTTAAAGTCATACCCATTTGGTCCAACCTACACAATGTGTGTTTATTTACCTGCTTTTCTTTGGCCAGTATCCTACTTGCCAAGCGTATATGCCAATTCCAGTGATACATCTCTTGCCCACTGTAGAATGTCAGGAATGATGACAAACGCTATTGGGGGACCTGCTGCTGGAGTTGGGGGCCTAACTGACCTGTCTAGCCTCATCCAAGCGTAAGTATTATTTAGAATAGAAACAGTAAAAAAGTATTTCTTGTTTTATAGTTTGTGTCTAAGGTGAGGGTACCAAGGCTTTCTTTTAAATTTTCATCTTTTACTGTTAGTATCAGTGACCTCATTAATTATTAAATCTAAAAGTAGTTCATAAATTGAAATTTTCTGATTGAAGGGCAGGAATCCAGAAGATCTGGGTCCAAGAAACATTTTTTTCAGCAGGTTTGAATAGCTATTCAAGGATGTATCTGGAAGTCAAATATCTACTTAAAGTATGTGTGAATTTAGGTACACAAACATATATATACTTTAAGAATTTATTTATTAAATTAGGTTTATTTATTTAATAGAGGTACTTGGGGATTGAACCCAGGACCTTGTGCGTGCTGAGCATGCGCTCTACCACTGAGCTGTACCCTCTCCCCAAGAATTTATTTTTTTAATTTTATTTTTTGAGGGGTGGTAATTAGGCTTATTTATTTATTATTAGTTTTTTTTTTTAAATGGAAGTTCTGGGCATTGAACCCTTGTGCATGCTACGTATGCAGTCTACCACTGAGCTACACCCTACCCTTCACACATACATATTTAAAAATCATATATTATAAATATGAATGTTTCAGACCACTTAGGAAACTTTTATTCACTTTTTCAGTGCCCATCATTACTAAAGGAACTTGTTTCATCTTCTTGAGCACATTACCTTTACCTCCAAGTTGCTTAAGCTACTGTGCTTTTTGAATTGCTTTTTGAATCTGTGTGATGCTGCCAGTGGAAACATATGAAGTGAGAAGTACCATTTCCTGTTTGTGATCATAACTATGTAATCCTACTTGCATTTTTAGAGTGATCTTTAAGTGGCATGATTATAGTGATACCTAACACTTGCAGTTGTGAGTCACACAGAGGAATTTGGATTAAATTTCTTTACCTGTTTAAAGATCAGTGCTGTTAGGTGACTTCATAAGCATCCCCAAATGGGTGTAACACCTGCCACACGAGAGATGATTAAGACTTGACTACAGTAACAAATACCTTGCATTATATTTGCAGACCTATAAAAGCACATACTTGTTAGCCATTGGCTCATTTGTGGTTAAGCACTTGGGGATGGGGTGGTGGAATTCACCTCATTCAGGAACTCACTTTTTAGCTTGGGTGTCTCATTTCTTATAAAGAACACTGCACTGTAATAATGCTGTATGGAGGCATTGGTAAACTTGCAGATACTAAATTTATGAATCTAAAACTTGTTTCTATACAAGACGTTCCCTTTGGGTAGTATCCATATCTTTTGCAGTTCTTTTTGCATGTGTATTTTGTGATTGGAAATTCCCTAATTCATACTACTTTTCCTCTTTACTATAGGGGACAGCAGTTTGCTCAGCAGATACAGCAACAGAATCCTGAACTTATAGAGCAACTTAGAAATCACATCCGGAGCAGGTCATTCAGCAGCAGTGCTGAAGAACATTCCTGACTTAACCAGAATGCAGACAGTTATGGCTCTGAAGTGTTTGCTGTAGATAGTGGCCAAAACAAAAACAAAAACAATCTAAAGAATATATCTGTCTAAACAATAGGTTTATCACAAACAGACCTGCACATAACATGATTCCTTTGTAAATGAATGATCAGTAGCCTTGTTAAGTGCTAGTATAGCACTTAACTGGGCAGGGTTCCATTTTCAAATCTTCATCATATTTGTATATTAGACTTAATAGCAGAGTATATTTATTGAACCATAGGGCTGTTTATTGGTGAGTTGAGTTCTCTAGCTTCAAATTCCCCTAAGCAAACTTTTTGAAAGGGGACCAAAGAGGAAGGGTTTCTCATTCTGATTTAGGAGAAATATACTTGCCACTGAGCAGCGTATCTGGAGAGAAGTTTGTTACCTGGGTTTAGCTTTGACAGCTATTGGTAATGAATGTATGTCATGGGGGCAGGTGCTATCTTAATGCTGCTTATTCTGATGGGTGATGAAATCTTAAGAGCTGGTGGAAAGCAGCATTTGGTGCAAGGGCTGTTATTTTGAAAAGAAACAAATAGATGCTGTGAATGTATAGAAAGTGGAGGTAGGATGCTCAGGTTTTCTGTGTAGTTCTTAACTAACCTCGCCTGCAGTTTGGTATTGGTAACATTAGCATGGCCAATTATGCTAAGTACATAATAAAATACATTTAGAAATCCTTAATGATTCTGGTTAGGTCAGTAGTATAACTGTTCGGTTTAACTATCACAATTTCCCCAGTGGTGACTTTACTGTGGAAACATTCCAATACATCAATATTTAAATAAGCCAATGGCTTGGCCCTTAAGTTAAGGATTTTCTAAGTGGCATTTAATTATGTGCCTGTAAACACTGATTTTTTTTTAACTCAGTACTTATTTGATGGGTTACAAAAAGCATCTATTGCTAACATTGCTTGTTCATGTAATCCTCTGCTATAATTTGGCTTGGCATGTTATCCTTAACCTTACTTTGATGCCACTTAAACGTAACAGGGGACTTGAAATATTTTATTGGAATTAGGATACATATTAGTGGAGAGAGGTGTTAAAGTACCATGGGAGTGGCTTTAACTACAGTGATGGATGAGGCCATTCTAATCGCAACTGGAATTTCTTTTGTTTATTATGAAATTGGTAAAGTTGGCAGACACATAATGATTTCACAAGTGTTGTGAGAGAAAACTGAAATAGAAAGTAATATAAAATTAAGTCAGTAATACTGATGATCAGAGCCTTACTATAACTGTCCTCCTCAGAAGGCTAATTACTTGGTATCTTGAAATTTAAAAACCAATTTTCCCTTTGTGAGATTACAACAGAGGTTCTATAATTTCATTGTTAAGAATAACCTGGAAATTCATTAAAAATGCAGATTCAGGGGCACAGCTTCAATTTTTATTTAGTAGGCCCTTTAATAAGGTCTGGGAATCACCATTTTAAATAGCACCTATATTTCTGGCCAGAGAGAGCAGGACTTAAACCTAAGCTAAGCCTTCTGAATTAAATCTGCTGTATTGCATCTAAATCAGCTTCATTTTTCATGAAGTTAAATTCATCTCCTAGAGTTCAGTGTTGTTATACAGAATGAAGTGCTAACTAACCAAAGGAAAATGATGACTGCAATGGAAAAAAAAAAAACCCAACAAAAAACGCAAAGTTGATCCTTAATAAAAAATTAGTCACTCCTACCCAGTGTTGAGTAAGGAAAAGTCCCCAGCATAACTATCTTGAGCTTATTAACAATGCTTTCAGATCAATAAAATTGATGAGCCTCTAGCTGACTGACTAGGAAAACAGAGAAAATAGGTATCAACAGTATCAGAAGTGAAAGAGGAGATACCATTACAGACCCTGTCGACATTAAAAGGATAATTAGAAAATAAATACTATGACCAATTCTAGGTCCCTATATTTAACAACTTAGAGGAAACAGACAAATCCCTTGTAAGGTACAAACTACTAAAGCTCACGGAAGAAGATAACCTCCAGAAAAGACAGCCACAGGCCCTGGCAATTTCAGTGGTGAATTCTCCCAAACATTTCATATGAGTTCTACACAATCGCTTCCAGAAAAGAGAAGAGGAAACGCTTCCCAACTCTTTTTGTTTAGCCAGTACTCTTATACCAAAATCAAAGACATTATAAGAAAAAAACACTTTAAAACAATACCTTGATTTGCTAATATCTGTAGTTAAGGTAGGCATTCTTTTTACATGAAGTAATGGGAATTGGGCTATTTCTTCCATTTTACCTTCTGGTTTGTTTGTTTTCTAATATATCACCCATTATAAATTAAATCTAGGTATCTGTCCATTTACCTGGATTTCCATTCTATTCAAGCCGTTTTTCCTCTTTAAGTGCTTTCACCACTTTGGAATCACTGCATTGCATGCTATTTCAAGAAAGTTTTCTCTGAAAATTATAAGTAATGCTCTAAATGTTACTTAGCTTGTCTGAAACAAGAGGATGTTAAAGAATATCTTTATATACATTCTACCTGGGAATGACTGACTTCTATTAACCACATTTCATTATAGTAGCTGTAGCTGTTATACTACTGTGTAAAACTTATAATGTCCTTTTTATGCAAATGACATTTTCATTTAATGTACCAAACTGTTTATCTAATTTTTATTGTATGGTTTAAACAGATCCTTTCTAAGATGACATTGTCTAACCTTAAAGAATGAACAATATGTGTCTAGGTTATTGCTTATAAAAGGATACTTTGTAATTAAATCAAATTATATAGCAGATTTTAAGTGACTGTTAAACTTTACTTTCAGAATTTGAAACAGAAGGTTCAGTCATGAGAAGATGCTCGGAAATCAATAGAAGTATCCAGTGCAGTGGCTATAAAGTTTTATTTCATCATTTACTCAATTGTGCTCATTTTGGAGGAAAGGCAGACTTCAGTTTTACTGCTTGCACTTTATTTTCATTAATTACCTCTCCAATTTAAGGGCAAATCTCATTCTGAATATAGCTTTCATTTTGGACCAAACAATTTGTCATGGCAATAAATAATTATGCATTTAAGAAAAACCAATTTCTGTATTTGACTTACTGCATTCTTACATTTAAGCAATTATATATACATGCTTGAAATTCAACTTACCAAAATAAGTCTTTATTTAACAGCATTAGTTTTTGTTTTCAAAATATTGAAACTTTTATTACACTCATGTTGCAAAGTTGTATACATTCTTACCATTCTCAGTTTTGTTTATGGTGTAAGTAAATTAGTATGATTACATGCAGAAATACAAAGTTTTATAATATCAATACATGATTTACAGTTCAAAATTAAGTATCAGAAGCTGGAAATCCTGTAAATATGCCTTATGAAAATAAGTGGCTTATTTTTCAAAGGGAAAAAATCCAGGACTTTTTAACTTGGAAAATTATCAGGCTTCTTAGTTCAGAATTAACAGAGTAATCAACAACTTAAGAAATAAAACCAATTATGATCTACTGTAACTGAAACTTAGACGGGCGTGTTTGTATGTACACACAAACAAAGATAAACACCAATACAATAATTTTGAAAACAACTAGAAAAACTCATACTGTTAGCAAATACAAGGTTACAAGAGGACTACCCAAGTTGTTTTAAACGTTTTTGTTACTGACCAGCTAGGGGAAAAAAAAAAAAACTGGGGTTAACTGAAATATTTCTAAATAAAGTATGATAAGAATTCTGAAGTTTTAAGAAATGACGGTATCTTCTAGATCGAGGCCGGTACACTACGGCCTGCAGGCTGGACTGGCGGCTGCCTGCTGTGAACGGACAGCTGTGCTCGGTCTGCCTGCTGGCTGCTTTTGCCCAACAGCAGCAGGGTTGAGTATTTTCAACAGAAACCACACGGCCTGCAGAGCCCAAAGTATTTAGTACCTGGCCCTTCACATGAAAATTTTGCTGACCCCTGTTCCAGATACCTGCTAGGGACAAGTGGTCTCAAATATAGACCTCTTGGGGAATAAAGTCCAATGGTCATTTAAAACGAAACAAAATAGCATATGTGTAGAAAACGTACAAATGTTCATTTAGAATATAACTCACAAGATAAAATCAGCAGATGGTTCTTTTCAAAACAAACATTTAATATTTAACTGCTTTACACGAAAGAAATTTAAATAATACATACTTATTTTTGCGGTTGACTTGATCATTTTACAAAGGTGACGGAAGTACACAAAGTTCCTGGAAACTCAATGAAAAGCACAACAATAGAAATTTTCTTCAGCTTTCCACTTTAATGGCCGAAGATACCACACAGACTTGGGCGATGTCATCGTATTCATATGTTCTCTTTAAGAATGTGTCTGTGAGTCTTAAGCCGGAGACGCTCTATTGAGACAAAAATATAGATCGAAGTTTTCATTCATTGGTAATAACCAGAGAAAATGTGGGTTAATATTTTCTAAGGGTTAACAGTCCCCAAATACTGAAATTACTGAAACGAGAGCATACTTGCAGTCCCTGTACTGAAGACAGTAGTGTAAGTGCAAGGCAGAGGGAGGAACTGGGATGTAGTTTTCCAAGCTGTCTTCCTGAAATGCCACACCAGTGGATGGAATTGGTATTGCACATCTCCAAAACCAGATCCATAGTCCTTTCACTGCTGGAGGAATCAGAAAAACAGGAATAAATCTTGTTCCTTTCACAAAGGGGTATTGCGATATTTATTCCACTCTTGCCAGTGAATTCCTTTTTTGAGTGTCCAGTAGAAAACCAGAAACAGAAATGAAAAGCTATCATTTCATTTTCATTTCACTTAAGATAGAATCAGGAAAATGAAAGGAGACAGCATCTTCTAGGATGCTCAGAGGCACTGAGACTAATCTGCCTGTCTGGATGCGGGCTTTCCGGTTCTGTTAGCAGACACTGGCTCCCTGATGCTGATCGGTTAACAGTTTTGCCACTTCTCTGAGAGACTTCCAGGCATCTGTGTTTAATCTTATTGCTATATATTCTTCCTATTTTTGTTAGGTACTCTACAAGAAAGAAAAAGAGAAACGGAGTCTGGTCCAGTGCTTTTTCTGTTTAATCTATGCTCCTTACCATTCAGATAATATAGAAAATGACCAGCAGGATTAATAAGTAAAAGTATTCAAAATTGTAGAATAGATAAACAAGATTATACTGTATAGCACAGGGAAATATATACAAGATCTTATGGTAGCTCACACAGAAAGGAATGTGACAATGAATATATATATGTTCATGTATAATTGAAAAATTGTGCTATACACTGGAATTTGACACAACATTGTAAAATGATTATAAATCAATAAAAAATGTTAAAAAAAATCTTACATTAGAAAAAAAGAAAAAAAAAGAAGTAAAAGTATTCAGGTGTTCAGTGTTAACATGAAAAGACTACTTCTGTGTATAACTGATATCATGAGTTCAACTTAAACTTATTAAGTTAAAAAACTTTTAATGAAAGTATGCACATTAAAAAAAAATAACCAAAAGCTCATAATGAAAAACAGTCTGCTACTCTACCACCATTCATGACTACTTTCATCTCCTAAAGCTCTTTTCTTCTTCTCATAGTTGGCTCTACATTTTTCAATTTAAACTTGATTTTTAGACATACTGATTTAATTTAGCTTTTACATGCCTGTCTGCCCCCAACAATTTGAAATGTCCACTGTGTGCCCAGACCAGTGTACATGCACTACATGAATTTTCTCATTAAGTTTCACAAAAATCCAGTAGGTGTATGTTGTGTGTGTATGTCTGTGTGTCTGTATGTGTTGGGGGACGGTAATTCAATTTTTATAGATGAGGGAACTGAAGATCTGAAGCACAAATGCTTTTTAGAAAGCCTATTTGAATCACCAAAAGGTAAAGTACTCAAAAATAAATAAAATTTCTTTATTTATTACAGCACTTTGTCATCTGGTCAATAACTGACTTGTTATAACTTGAAAAATGCAAAACAAAAAATCCAAAAGTACACCTTATTAGGTACAGGGTCTTTTATCTTGTGTGTGTTATTGTTCATTGAGCTCCTATGATGTGGCAGGCACTACATTTATAATGCTAGGTAAGACATGGTCTCTTCTCTTGAATTATTTGCAATCTAGCGAGGAAGAGATTAATAATTATAGCAATATATGAATGTCACTAAAAAACTGCATTAAAATTTGCTAGACAGAGAAAGGGATGATTGTACATGGGAAGGTCTAGTTATCTTCACAGGGAAAGTAGGTATTTTTATCATTTTGAAGGATGTATATTTCCTATCTCCCTAATATCACAAAGTCGGGATGGATACAGAATTGAAAAGGATTATATATTCAGACCATGAGGACTGGGATTCATCACTGCAATATTATCAAAGTGCCCCAAGTAGTAATACAAGTAGCAGCAAAAGTGACAGGACTGGGGTTTAATTCTAGGTTTTTCTGGCTTCAAAGCCCTATCCTCTTTGCTTCCCAATAGCTAGATTATACTCTATTATCAAAGCCTTATTTTGAATCTATGATTATTCCTTATATTAAATTCATAACCAATTTTTACTTTCTTAATACTAAAGATACAACTTGGGTATAAGTATGCCTTAGAAAAATCTATCTTATTATAGTAAATCTATAATGTACTGTTCTGTAAGAACCTAGTGGTTCATGTTTTAGTAATCTGAAGTGTGAAGGAAGTGTAAACAAGGTAAAGAACATGGACTTTGAAGTCA